CGCGTCCTTCGCCCCGGAAGTGCTCACCGGGCCCTGGTCGCCGGCGTGACTTTGAACGCTCCGGCTGCGGGGCGGGTTGCGGAGCGGACCCGGAGCCGCGGGACCTTCGTGCTTGTTCTGTTTGCCATGAGGCTGCTGGGAGCAGCCTTCGCCTCGGCGTGGGGCCGCGGGCCGCTCCCGCGGGCCCCGGCCGCCCTGGGCTGGCGGGGGAAACAGGTATCCGTGCCCGGCGAGGCGAGGCAGAACAGGGGGCGGCCCTCGGGGCCGGGTTGGTGCTGCATCCTTCCCCTCCCTGGCGCCTCGAACCCTCGCCGCTGCTTGTGCCCGGGGAGGCTGGGCGTGCCCTCGGTGTGTGATGGAGCCTCTTCCTCTGGCTGCACCTTGAGGAGGAGTGACTGGAGGGAAGATGAGACAACTTAGCAAGGAGTGTGCCCGGGGCTCGAACCCGGGGCCTCCGACTCTTCATCAAGTGCTCTTTTCCCTCTAGGGCACTGGTTCTCAACCTTCCTGATGCCGCGACCCTTTAATACAGGTCCTCATGTTGTGGTGACCCCCCCCCCCCAACCATAAAATTATTTTCGTTGCTCCTTCATAACTGTAATTTTTCTACTGTTATGAATTGTCATGTGAATATCTGATCTGCAGGATGTATTTTCATTGTTACAAATTGAGCATAATTAAAGCATAGTGATTAATCACAAAAACAATATGTAATCACTGGGCGGTTTGATGAGGCCGGGAACCCCGGGTGCTTTCCTGTGGTCTGGCTTCTGCCTTCTGCGGGGGCCGCAGAGAAGCAGTGTTCCGTGGGAGTGGAGCCGTCCTGTGGTGCAGACTTCAGCCGCCTTGCTCGATGGTGTCCCGGGGGTTGGCTCAGCTACGCGCCTGTCCGGACTCCACTGAATACTTGACCCACCTTTCCCAAGGCCTTGGCCTTCCTTTCCCCAAAGGTGGCCGCAGTGCATTCTGGATGTACAGTCCTATAGGAAGAGGTGTATATTGTGTCTTGATTCCATACATGCAAGATTTGGCCCCCTCCCCCGATTAATAGAAAGTGTTGTGTGTGTTTTTAATGTCCTTGTTTTGGGGCAGAAGGAATTGGAAACTTGTTTTTGTCGGCTGCCTTGGAGCTCTTGGCACCAGTGCATAGAGCACATGAGGCCTCAGCCATTCTTGCTCGCTGTGAACCACAATAAAGGTGGGGGTTGGGGTGGGGGAGGCAATCCAAGTAAAATGTAAACTAAAAGCTATTTCCCAGTCAAGTAGCTGTTGGGAGCTGTCTTTCTGATTTTATCAGCCCAGTGTATATTTTCAAACCTGTAACATTCCCCGAAAGTGTCTGCTCCTTTTGTTTGATCAATTTATTTTAATACTAGAGGCCCGATGCACGAAATCTGTGCAAGAGTAGGCCTTCCTTCCCCTGGCTGCTGGCACTGGCTTCCCTCTGGCACCTGGGACCCAGGCTTCCCTCATAGCCCCAGCTTCAGTAGAAGGTCGTCCGGAGGGAAGTCCAGAAGGACGGCCAGTCTAATTAGCATATTACGCTTTTATTAGTATAGATACCTTTTTTTAATTTAATTCTTCTTAAGACTATATATTTACTGTCCTCTCTTGCAGTCTCTCCTTTGATTACAAGAGTTGCAGGTTGAGACATTTACTCTTCCTTTCCAGATGATCTCAGATGACGTTTTGTGTTTGTCGAGATTCTTGGAGGAAAGATGTCCACCAACTCATTTTAGTTGCCTGTTGTTACCTTGTAAAATGTGCAATAAGTTGAGCTTTTTTTTTCCCCCCCAGGTTAATTGGAAGGTCTGCAGATGGTGTTCCTCAGGGAAGATTCCTAATGAGAGGATAAGAAATATTGGAATCTCAGCTCACATTGATTCTGGGAAAACGACATTAACAGAACGAGTGCTTTACTATACTGGCAGAATTGCAAAGATGCACGAGGTAGATGGTTTGTGTTAATCCCGATTAGTTAGAGCTTGGTTTTAATTGTTTTGTGGTTATGATTTAATAAACTTTACAAAAACTGAAAGGTTTAAAGAATGGTAGCCATGGATCTTTAATCAAAATCATATTACATAGTGGATAGCTCAAGTAGGCTTGAAATATTGCTCTGAGGAATCGAGCTAGTGATCATCATTGTAGGTAAAGGTAAAGTTCTGAGTAGGTGGTCTTTTGAGAATGTTAAATTACGTAATGTGATGTATCCTTAAGCAGCCATTAAAATAGGTATTTACATATTTTTTTTAATGTTATGGAGAGATGTTTATAATGTTAAGTGGAAAAAAAGATTAAAAATGGTGCATAGTATGAGCTTAATAGTTAAAAAAATAGGTATCAGGAAAAAAACTTTTAAGAAACTCTCCTGAAGAAATTATATATCAGTGAGTAACTTAACTCTCCATTTAAAAATATTCCTTCAGGTGAAGATAATCGTTTTAAATGCCATACTTTAAAAGCTGAATCCTCCCCTCCCGGGCCTCGAAATCCACATATAGCTGAGCAGGCAGAAGCTGTTCTCTGAACAGCTCCTCACAGACCAGCAGAGGGCAGGCGGGCAGGAGCAGTGCGGGAGGGGCAAGGATGGCTCTAAGACTGGGTGACTGCTCTATGGCAGTAGTTGCTGAAAACGATGAAAAAAGGGTTAGGCAGGTAATGGAGGGCAGCATCTGTAATCAGCTTTCTATGTCATGAGATTATACGGTTTGATAAATGAGACTTCCCTGCTAATTGCGTCATTTACCTGCGCTCTGCTTCCATCTCTGTAAAAATGTCTTTTAAATGTCTTCTTAGAATGCAGGGACAGAGAACTCTGAATTGCTGTACTTGTGTTTAGGTGAAAGGTAAAGATGGAGTTGGTGCTGTCATGGACTCCATGGAACTAGAGAGACAAAGAGGAATCACTATTCAGTCAGCGGCCACCTATACCATGTGGAAAGATGTCAACATCAACATCATAGATACTCCTGGTGAGGTTTCTGCTTTATTGCAGCTTGTTTGGGCAGCAGCACAGTGAGCTCTTTACTGCGTCAGAGCTTATGTTTGTGTATCGAATAATACTCAGAAGCGTGACTGAGTCTCTATTATAGGAGTGTGACGTGGGACCCAGAGCGCCTCCTCCTTTTGTGGTTTTCCTGAAAAATAGTGCTAGTCAGTTGTGAGTAGGAAGGTTCGTGCCTTTTGCATGTTGCAGCTGATTCCAGAGGTTCCCATGCCCATGTATCTTTTTGAAGTGATCTTGTTGGGCCCCTGGACCTTATGGTGAGTGAATGGTATTGGTGATTTTTAAAATTTACATTCTAATTAGAAGCCTTCTGTGATGAGCAGAGTTACAGACACTTTTAATTGTGCATGTTATAAAACTTCAGGCTGCTCTCGAAGACCCTCACACACTTGTCTCATTTAGGGCATGTGGACTTCACGATAGAAGTTGAAAGAGCCCTGAGAGTGCTGGACGGTGCGATCCTTGTTGTCTGTGCAGTCGGAGGGGTGCAGTGCCAGACCATGACTGTGAATCGGCAGATGAAGCGCTACAATGTCCCGTTTCTCACTTTCATTAACAAACTGGACCGAATGGGCTCCAACCCGGCCAGGGCGCTGCAGCAGATGAGGTACCGTTCCTAAGAGGAACGGGGGTGAGGGTCTGCATGGTAAACTTTATATCCAGAACAGTTAATTCAGTGTCATTAAGCTTTATCCTTACGTCCCCTCCCCCCCACTTTTTAAATTTATTGAGTGATTTAGTAAATGGTGCATTGAAGTCAGTAGTTTGGTTTTGGTTTATGGTGTGACCTCATCGACTGCCTTCTCTGCAAAATGGGGAAAATACTACTTGAATTGTAGGGATGCTGAAGGTGGAGTCAGAGAGTAATCTGGCAATTTATGCTGTTTTGCTGTAATTAGAGAAGTTATAATCTAAAGTAGATTCTAAAAGTACTTTGTGTTTATTTAGACAAACCTAGAGGTTCCCCTGTAGTTTAACCTTTACTTGAGGAATTTAATTAATGCCCTGAAGTAGTATGCTGTATTTCCTTGCTCTCATGGTCAAATACCTGCTAAGACAACAGGAACACTTCCGCTCTGTGCCAGGGATGGCCCAGTGGTACTTATAGCGTGTTGCGTTGCACAGTTCTATATATTTTCAGATAGCCTTTGAAAAGAGTCAGTCTCACTTTTCACCTCTTGTAGATGTGTAAGTGGAGCTCATTTCACAAGAGAGAGCTGATAGACACAAGAAAGACATAGGCAACAAAGTTCATGATAATGGAAAGACTGAGAGTGATGTGTCTGATGACAAAAGATCCGGTGTTGAGGAACTTTAAGTGACTGTATTGCTGTATGCACTTTGATAAAAGTGATATCTTTGAGAATAGGAGAGTAAAATTTGTCCTTTATTGGATACTTGTAAAATTTTCTTGGGAAAATGAAACATTTTACTTTTCATCTTTATGACTATATTTTAATTGTGGTTGGCATTATAGGAACTCTTTCTACTAAGTCTTTTTCTGAATTTTAAGAGTATTCTTTTTTAGCATCTATTTGACTAATTTGGTTTACTCCACTCCCTTTTTACCTGTTTTCTCATTTTGTAACTCCCTTTAAACAGATTTTGAAACTTCATTTGGTCTCTGTGTTTTAATTTCTGCATCTGGTCTCTGTGCCATACTTTCTGTCTCTGTTTTGGACTGGGCAATGACTAATTCTTGAGGTCGGTCTTCTAGTTCACTAATCTGCTATTCATCCGCATCCCTTCAGTTATTTAGCCTGTTTGTTCTTTTTAATTTCAGTAATTATATATAGTTAATTTCCATACACTTTCTCTTTTATTGCAATATTTTTATTAATAGAGATAATCCTCAGACCTTTACATTTTATTTTCTTCTAGTATCTCTCTCCTTGGAGGTTAGTACTATTTCTTGAGCTCATACCTCTCTTTCAAGCTATTGGTTTCCTTCAAATATTTGTTGATTCCTAGTTATCTAGCCATAATCATAGATGGGCACCTAGAATCTAGGTAGCTAGAACATATTTCTCCTTAAGTGAGAATCCCTGTCTGTGAGTGTAGGTTTTATTCAGTAGATGTGCCTGATGGAGTTATAGGCTGATAATAAGGGCCTGACTTTAACACCTGTTCTGAGAGTTTTCCCCCAAGAACTTCCCTTCAGATAGCTATATTCTGTTTCGATAGAGTCAGCTGTTCAAGAATGAGATGTGGACATAGTTATCCTACTATCCTTTTAGAGTTCTTTTTATTGCCTAAATAGGGTTGTAGCTTCGTGAGCATGATGAGTTTGGCTGTCAGTTTGTTCTCAGCTGCTTTATATCGTCTGTTCTGGCTGCTGATGACACCCCCTCCCAAAGTAAATAGCATCTACCATTACATTATTTTTTTTTTTTTAATTTCAAAGGGATTTGGGGAGAAAAAAGGAGGTAAGAATGTGTATTTTTATTTTTCAGGTCTAAACTAAATCATAATGCAGCATTTGTGCAGATACCCATTGGTTTGGAGGGTGACTTTAAAGGTATTATAGATCTTATTGAGGAACGAGCCATCTATTTTGATGGAGACTTTGGGTAAGTATTAAAAATATACTGTTAAATAACTCTTACATTTTAAAAGGTATTGAAGAGAAGGAAAAGGATGAGTTATTTAAACAAACAACTTTTGAAATATGGCTGGAAGAATATCCTCTATGATGATTTTGTTTTACTGCCTTTAATCCTAGTTGCTTCCCATTTTGTCTAGTATTCATTCCAAGGGAGAGTATGTTACTTGTTGGTAATATATTTGAATTGTATTATGACCTGCATGGTATGGTGGAAGGAGGCCTTCAGCCTGAGCTAGTAATGTAATGTTGCATTCATTCTTTCAGTCTGCGAACTTTTAGGGGGGCAGCTACATCCTGGATATTGTGATAAAAACTGGAAAGAAAATACGCATCATAAATATTCCCTCTACCTACTTCATGGTATTGCAAAGATAAAAAGGCTACTATATAAAAAGCAATTAAAGATTGTACAGATGTGGTTTAGGCAATACAAGAAGCAGATTGGTAAATGACATGGTATTTGGTTCATCAATCAACTTTTGAGTGACTTTTGCATGTAAATCACTATGGTTTCTCAGTGATTATCAAACCATGGCATTCAGGAAAATCACCTGGAGAGCTTTAACAAACACACGTTCCTGTGTCCACCTCCAGAGATTCTGATTCAGTAGCTCTTAGGGTGGGGCCTGGAATGTGCATTCTGGGAAGCTTTCAAAGACGCTGATGTTGCAGGTCTACAGACCACACTTTTGAGTGCCACTAATCTAGACAACATGGGGGAGTCATAAATGACCCTTTGTTCTGAGTAGTGGCCTCAGCAGCCTGGCAGTTTTTCCAAAGGTACTTCTTGAGGGGTTTCCTTTTTTTGCTATGGAACTAGGATTGCTGGTCTGGCAGGTAGGTAGAGGGTGTCATGATCAGTTAAACAGAATTTATCTTGATCAGCCATATTGTGGGCAGGAAAAAGATGGGAGCTGTCCAGCAGATGAAGCGTTTCTCACACCTCTTGTGTGACAACTGAGTAATGACAACAAGTTTATCTATTCCTTACAATGTAAGGCCCAAGAGGACAGAGATTTTTTTTATCAACTTTATTCATTGCTATTTTCCCCAGCCCTAGAGGGGTCTGGTACATAATAGGGACTCAAAAAATGTTTGTAAATAAACAAATAAATCCACTTCCCCAGAATTACCAGGGCACAAGTTTCTGTCTTCTAAATTAGAGGCTTTTAAATTGTTGCACATCAGGACCACAGATGGCACTTCTTAATATACCTGCCCCCTTTCCCAGCCTGGACCACTGGACTTGTATATTTTGATTCTGACATAAAAGTCTAAGCACTAAAGAGCTTAACAGAAAGGAAGAAATTAAGTTCTAAAGACTATGAAGAACATTCTTTAGAAGTATTTGCAATTGGCTTTTGCTTTTTTATTTAGATACATGTTTTCTGAAAAGATTATTATTTTTTTGACATTAGTTTCCATTTTAAAGATACTTTGAAAACTATTGTACTAATATTTCTAAATATCAAGTATATTCACTTCTTGGTTGTATATATTTTATCTGTGTCTCTTACCTATTTGGCCTCTACTAAGGAATGGAGACCGGGCTAAGGTTGAAGAGTCTGTCGTTTTTAGTAAACTTTTATTTTCTTTTTTTTCCCCTTTATTGATTAAGGTATTACATATGTGTCCTTATAACCCCATTGCCCAACCCAGTGCCCTAGGAGCTGTATTGGTGAAGATACTGCTTCGGCATATGTCTGAGATTTTGCTGCCTGTGGGTTCCTCTAATATTTTTATGGTTTTCCGTCTTATGTTTAAGTCCTTTATCCATTTTGAGTTTATTTTTGTGTATGGTGTAAGTTGGTGGTCTAGTTTCATTTTTTTGCAAGTATCTGTCGAATTTTCCCAACACCATTTATTGAAGAGACTGTCTTGACTCTATTCTATGTTCTTGCCTCCTTTGTCAAATATTAGTAAACTTTTTTTTACTACAAAAGGAGTATTCTGTGTTAAAATTGTGTGATTGGGTTTGTTACTTTGGAAAGGAATAATAGGGTCTCTAATCCTGCCTGTAAGAGACTGTGATGTTTGGAATAATTTGGTTAATAGAATTTTCAGGTGCTCACATGGAGCCAGGTTGGCTTTGCATCTTGGCTCTTCCGTTTACTAATAGTTCAGTCTGGAGCAATTTGCTTTGCCTGTTTTGCCCATTATCTGTCTGAATTTTAAAGATATGCATTAGTATTATTTGCCATGTTAATACAAATATATCAGAGCTCTTTCTCATCTAAAAAGATATTTTAGCTATTAGTTTAACATTTTCATTGGTGCTTTATATATTTGATTGTACATCCTTAAAGTACCAATATAAACATTTCTTAGTCAGATTGTTCGCTATGAGGAAATTCCAGCGGAATTCAGGGCTGCGGCAGCTGACCACCGCCAGGAGCTGATTGAAAGTGTTGCTAATTCAGACGAGCAGCTTGGTGAGATGTTCCTGGAAGAAAAGATCCCCTCAATTTCTGATTTAAAGGCAAGTATTTTCAAAATAAGTCCTCACTCAATATTTTTCCATTGATTTTTTAGAGAGAGTGGAAGGGATGGGGAGAGACAGAGAGAGAAACCTTGGATGTGAGGGAGACACATCGATTTGTGCCTCCTACAGGCGCGCTTACCAGGGCCAGGAATTGAGCCTGCAACCGAGGTACATGCCCTTGACCACATGCACCCCAACTGGAGATCAAACCCGCAACCGGAATATGTGCCCTAACCGGAATTCCAACCCAGTGACCTTTCAGTGCATGGGTCAGTGCTCAGCCCCGAGCCATACCGGCCAGCATTGTATATATATTTTTTTATCAAATTAAAAATTAGTAACATTTCAAGAGTGTTAAAGCAGCTTCCTAGGCCTGAAAAAGGAACTGTTTTGTTTTTTTTCTCCTTTGTTTTGAATTTTGACCTTAAGTTATAGAGGGCCTACATGATCCTAGTCTCCCCTAGAGCCAATACTCCAAAGAGTATTAATTCATTTATTTGTTGGTTTGTAATTGATCTGAAACACAGATGTAATTTTTAAGATTGACTAATCATTACTTTTTTTCTTTTTCTTTTGTAGCTTGCAATCCGTAGAGCTACTTTAAGTAGGTCATTTACTCCTGTCTTTTTGGGAAGTGCCTTGAGGAACAAAGGAGTTCAGCCTCTTTTAGATGCTGTTTTAGACTATCTTCCAAATCCATCTGAAGTCCAGAATTATGCTATGCTCAAGCAGGAGGAGTAAGTCTTGGAAATTGATTCTTAGTTTATGCAGAAATACTTTTAACATTGTGCACTATGAAAGAATGTAAGAATGATTTTTCTAGTTATGTTGTATTTGTGTTATTTTTCATACTTCACAAAAACAATCACCATTTCTGTTTGGGTAACAATTTTGGCATATACAAAAATATTTATTATCCCATTTCCCATATTATATCTTATTTGTGAGTTAGAAGTGTGATATATTATCCCTCAAGATTTAAATCTTTAGAAAATTCTCTACAAGACCATTTCTGTGCGTTTTTTTCCCCATTTCCTCTGGTCTTATCACAGTGTAGTAACTGATGTGCTTTTTCTCAGATAATACTCTGAGGAAACAAATTGATATAAAAGAAATATCAGTTGTTGCATCTCACAGTTATATTTCTTTTATTTTAAGTGACTCAGAAGAAAAAACCAAAATCTTAATGAACTCCAACAGAGACAATTCCCACTCATTTGTAGGCCTGGCTTTTAAACTGGAGGTAAGTTGCTTGCTATTGTACTTAACTGCTATATATAGAAATCTTCTTTTAAGCTTTTATTCCTATTGCTAAGTGACTCTTCTGACAGATTTGGCTATAAGTTTCTCCACTATTACTCTGTTTTCCCCCTTTCTATACTGACTTTTTAGAAGGAAGTTACTATGCACATCTCATACTTGAGTGGGGAATTATGCTCTACCTCCTTGAGGGAGCAGTATCTCCTTATTTGATACTAGAAGCCCAGTGCACGAATTCGTGCACCAGTGGGGACCTTTGGCCTGGCCTGTGGGATCAGGCTGAAACTGACTCTCCAACACCCCCCAAGGGGTCCTGGATTGTGAGAGGGCACAGGCCATGCTGAGGGACCCCACCGGTGCATGATCAGGGCCGGGGAGGGATGCGGGAGGTGGGCCAGCCGGGGAGGGCCCATGCGGGGGCTCCAGGGCATGTCCAGCCCATCTTGCTCAGTCCTGATCGGCCAGACCCCAGCAGCAAGATAACCTACCTGTCGGAGTGTCTGCCCCCTGGTGGTCAGTGCACATCATAGTGAGTGGTTGAGTAGCCTTAGCATATCATGAGCATATTATGCCTTGATTGGTTGAATGGACAACCAGACACTTAGCATATTAGGCTTTTATTATCTAAGATTCTTCTGTATGGGAGAGTTGTTTTTTCACCCCCATTTATTTATTTATATCAGTATGAACTTATGGGTATTTATTTTGTACTTTGAGTTACAGTGAGTAGTATGTTACTTATTTTGGTGCCTAGATTGACTGATTTGGCCATTGCAGCTCTTGCAGTTGGCTCCTGAGTCTCTGATTCTCCAGTGTTTGCTTTCTGACTACTTTCTCACTTGCTGGCACTACAGGATGCGCCAGGCTTATCTGATATAGTCCCTGCCCCAGCCCTAGAATCAGCCTCTTCTTTAGGGGTCCTGGTTTCTTTTAAGAGAGAATGGTTTTATAAACCAAGATTTGATCACTGGGTGTGCTTTTTGTTGGGGTATTGTTGCTTCTGTTCATAATATTTTATGTGAGAAGAAAGGTAGGTAAGTTGGAAGTATTAACAGTGGTATAGGTAGAATTATATTTTGGGGGCTTTTTCCTAGATTTTTATTTTTAAAACTTTACAGTATACTTCTTATTACCTCTAAAATGAGGAAAAAGTAATTTTAAATTAAAAAGTAGAAGTAACATTGCAGTGCCAATTTTTGTGCATAAAGCTTTTAAAAATGTGTTTAGGAATATATTCTTAGGATCCCTAGAATAGCAATTATAGAATTAAAGGTATGGAATATATTAACATCTGATGGTTTGTATTGCCAAATTGTTTTCATACTCTCAGAATTAATGTATTGGATTATTTCAGTGAATCTTTATTAGCAATGAATATTATTTATTAAAAATTACTGACTTCATAAATGAAAGTATTTTAATATTTCATCTTAATTCCTAATGATAGAGAATATTTTTTTCATATACTGTTTTTATTAGGCAGTTGTATTTTCTCTTTTGTAATTGTCTCTCTTTTTCTAAAATGAGGATCAAAGTATCTTACTTATTTGTACGAACTTTCTCTAATAAAGATGATTTGTTAAAAACAATTAGTACTGCCGAACCGGTTTGGCTCAGTGGATAGAGTGTCGGCCTGCGGACTCAAGGCTCCCAGGTTCGATTCCGGTCAAGGGCATGTACCTTGGTTGCGGGCACATCCCCAATGGGGGACGTGCAGTAGGCGGCTGATTGATGTTTCTCTCTCATCGATGTTTCTAACTCTCTATCCCTCTCCCTTCTTCTCTGTAAAAAATCAATAAAAATATATATATAAAAAATATTAGTACTTTAAAATTTATATAGTCAAATCTATCAGTCTTTGTCCTTAGTCATTCTTAACCTTAGAAACTCTCTTCTTTGAATATATTTAATAAATATTTAATAATTTATTAATATATTTATTAATGCTTAATAAATATTTATAAATAAATATTCTTTGAATATATTTAATAAATATTTATTTTTCTACTTTTTTATGGTGGGATTTTTTTATTGTTAATCTAATTGGAATTTGATTTGCTGTGTGCTATGAAGCAGGATCCAAATGTTTCTCCAATCCAAGAACAGTTGTCCAGTTACCAGTTTTGAACAATGTTGTACTTTTCCATTGACTGTCATGCTTTCTTTATCATTATTGATAAATGAATTAAACATTTCAGACATTTGTACTATATTCTGTGGGTTATTCAGTCTAATTTGTGCTAGTTCTATACTTTTTAAGTTCTGGAATATTTAATATGTTTTATATTAGTCTTAGTTTCTTCTCATTACCATAGTTTTTCAAAACTTTTTATTTTTATCCATTTTTCTAAGTGATTTTTAAAATCACTAATTACATGTTTAAAATTTTATCTTGGGATTTTGATTGCTGTTGTGCTAAATTAATATGGGAAGCATTGGCAACCTTTAAATACATACCTAGTTGTTATTCAGGAGAAATTGATCCTTAATCATTCATTTTATATTCAGTCACTTTACAAAACTCTTATTGTATAACTTTCCAGGTATCAAAGTATTTTAAATGTCTTGCTATTTCTAATGATGTTTTTGTTGTCTTTACAGTCATTATACCTTATTTTTATATCTATGTTAAACGGAACTTACAAAGTAATATTATAAGACAAAAGGATAATTCCTTTAATAAGTAATTTTAAAATTTTTTCTAGTAACTTTTATTTCAGAGGAAGCACAAGTAGTATTTCGGATTGTGATGCCGAAAAGAATAACACAATCGTTTTATTTACCTGTGTTGAAAACTACTAAAATTGATAAGGGAATATTTGGAGATAGTTGTGAAGTTTTTCTCCTGATTTTGATTCTTATGTTTCTTTTTTATTCTTTCTGCCCTTACCCAATCTTGACTTCTAGGCAGGTCGATTTGGACAACTAACTTATATTCGCAATTATCAAGGAGAGCTGAAGAAGGGGGACACCATCTACAACACGAGAACAGGAAAGAAAGTGCGGGTGCAACGGCTGGTTCGCATGCATGCTGACATGATGGAGGCAAGTGCCTGGTCACTGAGAGGTCAGAGAGTCTCTAGTGCAGATGAAATAGATCTGTCTTCTTGGTATTCTGAGCCCCATAAGAAAATCACTTCCAGTTGAATGTTTTCCTAGCTTCTTCCTTGTTAGTTAGGTGTGCTGCAGTTTTGATGTAGCATTTTAGTATAGGCTAAATTAGTAGATGTTAACACAGTTTATACCACTATTTGTGAGTTAGCTGTGTTTTCTCAAGGGCCAAGGTTAAGGAGAAGGGGCAATTAGTTCCCTATGACTCAGAACCACAAATTCAACATTTTCCTCAAGAGCCATCATTACAAAGAGGATAATAGGTTTCTGGACAGTGGAACTGTGCTTCTCAAAGGTAAGTGAGAGTAGTAAACTCACATATAATTTCACACATTGTTCAGTGAATTTACTTTCTAAAATATGGCAGGTCTGAAAGTTCTGTTTAACACTAAAGCTTTATATTTGTAGAACCAACCCCAAGAAGGGCCATAATGGTGTTAGACTCTATCTGAAGATTTAAAACCTCTCAAAGTGTGGTCTGGGAGATAAATTTCTCTTGAATTCTTGAATTGGCTCTGAATCTGTCCTAGCTTTCTGTGGTCCATAGGGTGATTAGGCCTTGGTAGGAATACTGAGTATGCAAGGTTGTCTCCTACTCTCACCCTTTCCCAATTCAGCTCTGTACTCCTGGGGAAATTTATTAATCTGAGCAGAATCTTCGTATGTTCAGTAATTTTTGGTGTCCATAACCTTTGTATCTCCTAGAAGATGAATAGGCAGTCTTTCAAAATTGGACAGAATTACTGTTATAAGAGATAGGCAGCAGGGGGCAGCCAGAGGGATTAGAGTTTGTCACAGCTGTTACATGGACCAGAAGCTAGGAGAATTGTACAGCTGTGTAACTATTGAAGTATGACACACACATACTTGCTCATTCACAGCCACAGCTGTTATGAATGAACTGTCCATATAAAAGGACAAAAACAAGGAAGTTTAGAGGCACAATGCTTTGTTCTTCGATTTCCTGTTTTTTTTAACTGCTTGAATCTGTTCGAAATTAAGATTATTTTAAGTAAAGTGGGCTCCATTCTCCTGCCTTTGTTTTCAAAACTTCCTTTGTAGGTTTTTCTTGTACACCTTTGTCATACACATCTGATTGTTGGACTGTGGCAACATATAGTACATGCTTTTTTAAAAATATATTTTTTTTATTATTTCAGAGAGGAAGGGAGAGGGAGAGAGAAACATCAATGATGAGAGTCATTTATCGGCTGTCTCCTGCACGCCCCCAACTGAGGAATGAGCCTGCAACCTGGGCATGTGCCCTGACCGGGAATCAAACCATGATCTCCTGGTTCATAGGTCAATGCTCCACCACTGAGCCACACTAGTTGGGCTATAGTACATGCTTTTTAATTCCATAGAAATAACTTTAGAACTATGAGACTCTGTTTTATCTATACTGCAGATACTCCAAAATGATGCCATAACTCTGAGTTTCCGTTTAAAGTAAAATCTTGTCTATTGAGATGTGGCTTAAATAAGGGCCCAGTTTAAGGTCTGGCTTGCTGTGGTTGATTGTTGATGTTGCATTGGTTTAGCTAATTCTTTATAAAATCCATGGTAAGATTCTGCCATATTTATTTATGTGCAATGTGCTTGTTGTGCAAGTACTCTATAGTCACCCTGCTCTGATTGGTATTACTTGTAAGTAATTACTTGTCATTTTTGTGTTATTTTTTATTTAGGATGTTGAGGAAGTATTTGCTGGAGACATCTGTGCATTATTTGGCATTGACTGTGCTAGTGGAGACACATTCACAAACAAAGATAATAGTGGACTTTCTATGGTATGTCATTTAATTTCAAAGCTGTGTTTCACTTGTGTCTCAAAAGTCTGTGTTTTTATGTGATACATTTAACATTTCAGAAAAACAACCACAAGTTTTCACTGAGCAGTGCTGCAGGCATCAAGTATAGCTTGGTTGTGGCTCTTTAAATGTCAGGTGGACAGGTGTTCTGTGTAAACTAACTTATCTGGGTGTTTTTTAGTAAAGTCATTTCATTATTCTTCAACATTTAGATGCACCTGACTAGCTCTGACTCTACCCTGAGATTTTTCCCCATTGTGGGTACCTCTCTAATTGCTATCACCATCATGAGGCTGGTCCCCATGGGATGTTCCTTCCTTACTAACTCAGCAGCCAGAGTAGACCCTTCCCTCAAGAATTGTAAGACCAGACTAACATTTAGGCAGGCTTGGGGATCACATAACAGAAGGGCACCAAATGCAACTAGACTGTCTGACTTACTGGTGACAACCTACTCTGTGGAACGCATAGGTCCCTTTTCATCACTGAGGGACCCTGAAGGGAAGAGCATGCTCTTAATACACGTAGACCCTAGAAAGGCCCTGACCCTGAAAACCTACCTCTGTAAATGGAGAGCAGGGAAAAACTGGAGAAAGAGGCAGGCCACTCCATTCTGGCAACTAACAGAGTTCTTTAAGGGGAAATTTCTCCTGGTGCACTTTTAGGCAGCTGCAAGATGAAGTGGACAGTCCCCACCCTCCTAACAGGAGCCAGAAAATTATCATATGGGGTAAAAACGGGGGAATAGTCACAGTTACTAGTACATGAATGTTACCTGGTGTGGAAATTACTTAACATGCATGACCAGGTCAGGACAACAACCTGTTCTGGGAACCAGCTCATTGCTTATTTATGTCAGAGTGAACATTAATTACCATCAGATAGTCTCTAAGGGGGGGATTGCGGTCAAGCAATCTCCGTTCTGGCCCAGTTCAGCTCGTGGTCCAGACAGAGGTCACATCATGGAATAGTTTCTCCTCCACACATGCTTAGACAGTTCTTGACTTTGAATTCCCTCACTTTCCATTTGTGCCCCTTTAGGAAAGCAGGTTGTGCTACAGTAAGACCCTCTACTGAATTCAGTAAAGAAAGAGTATGAGTACTTAGGGGATAGGTAACTTGCAGTGAACAAATTCACAATGGGTCATTTATGTAAGAACAGGCACACACTATAATGTTTCCTAGATCATATAACAGATCCATATTTTTATAATTAGTGTTTTTGAATAAAATATTCTCTAATGTCTGGTTTTAATGTTGATTTAAGACACTACAAAAGTCATAAATATGTACAGACTGTTCGGGGTTGTACATAAGAGGAATGCTTTATGAGTATGATTATAAGGCTTTCTCTCCAGGCTTGTCATGAACAATATGAAGGGACTGGAGGCTGTGGGAAATACTGAGGCTTTGAAGCAAGTAGACCCTGGTTAGAGTCTCACCTCTGCACTATATTACCCACTAGCCCTTAGTCACATTACTTTATGTTCTTTCCATGCCTTTAAGATTTTATTTGTGTAGTGGAGATAATATCTGCCTCTCAGAGTTGTGGTTGAGTAAATGAGGTATCACGTATAAAGAGTCTAGTGCCCTTCCTCTGTTTCTCTTATCAGTGATCATAATAAATTTGATTAAATAACTTAACAGAAGATACCAACAGTAAATGTAGCTGCCAGCTGATAAGAATTCCACATCTCAGCATTTGGATTTATTAAATGATTATGTTAAACTGAAAGTGTCAATAAACTTAAGGGTCTTAAACAGTTAAGTAAATAAATAAATACTTTATTTTTGTTGTTTTGGGAGGGAGGAGATCATATAAGTGGACACCTTTATTAAAATATTCTGTTAATATATTCATTTATTTAATGCAGACAGACCTAGATATATATTGTCTAGCCTAAAGATATTGAGTGCTTTTGTTCTTTATAAGTAGAACTTTAATACGTTAAGCACCATATCAGTCATTGGTGACTGACACTATATTTTCCATCCAAACCTCATCACTCACTGGTGAAATTGGATGTCGCGGGCTAAACGGAAAGGAAGACAAAACAGGCTTAGCACTTAACGTGTTAAAGTTAATCTATCCCTGACCCTGACCCATACAGTGCTATATTTGAATTCTTCTCTTTTTCTTAAACAATATTTTAGGAGTCAATTCATGTTCCTGATCCTGTCATTTCAATAGCAATGAAGCCTTCTAACAAGGTAGGACTTTGATTTAACACTCAGTATATCACAATAAAACTTGAGCTCTTTTTCAACTGTCTCCACAATGCACATGGTACCTTGTGGTAACCAGCAATCTTATGGTCTCTAATTCTCGTTTGGTGTGGGGAAGCATGGGACTTGGTTAGAAAGGCTGTAAGGAGGATTCTCTGAAAGACCGAAGGCCTCTGGGGGGACCTTCCTAAAGGTGGTAGCCCCTCCCTTGACTTTTCCAAACAAGTCCTAGCCCCCAGGTGTTTTGCTGGAATCTCTATGTTTAGTCTTTAAGACCCGACCTTGTAGAACAGCTGTTTTCAACCTGTGGGTCGCGACCCTTTGGCGTTCAAACGACCAGACCATCCTGCATATCAGATATTTACATTATGATTCATAACAGTAGCAAAATTACAGTTATGAAGTAGCAACGAAAATAATTTTATGGTTAGGGGTCACAACATGAGGAACTGTATTTAAAGGGCCAGAGGTTGAGAACCACTGTTGTAGAAGCATGTGCTTTCTCAAGGATACTTACCCTGCTGATTGTATCTAGAGGTTAATTTTAGTTCAAGCTGTTGTTACAAAAAAAAGCCTAAGGAGGCAGGCAATCGGGCTGTTTTGGTTCCTAAAGTCAAGCCCCTTAGCCTTCTCTTTTACAGAAATGAGTGTCAGAGTAATCTATTCATCCGCCGCTCAGGATCTGCTGGTCAGCCCCGGCATTTTGGTATTGAGATCACCTTTTATATAAAATTTACCGGTCAGTCACTAGTAATTACTCCTCAGTATTTTGAAGAAATTAATGGTACTAAAGTGTTCATCAGACTGTCCTTAATAACACTTTACTAACTAAAGGTATAACATTTGCTCCAGAATGGTAAGTTAACTTTCTAGATTTATAAAGGGATGGAAGAGGGGAAATGGGCATTTGTCCTAAATTGTAGAAAAACCTCACTTTAAAGTACTTTAGAATACTGCATAGATTAACTGCCTCATGGATTAGAATCCATCTCTAAATTTGTGGTAGTTATAAAATAAGTGCCTGATTATAACATGGAGAGCCTGCAAATAAGACTGTTTTCTCACTTTCATAACAAGTTTATGATTGGCTTTTATGTCATTTAGCTTTTTACAAAGCCAAGATTACTTGAATAAGTTCTGTATTCCCATTACCTTGCCCTTAGAATTAGTCCTGATCTTGAACTGTAATCATTTAGTTCTTAATGAATGACTTTGATATGTCTTAGTTTTGACATTCATAGCAATCATGTTAATATGGTGTATTGAAATGAACTCATTCATGCATTGAGTGAACATTTATGACCTCTTGTCATCTGGGAAATGTCATTTACAGAACATACTCTGGTTTGTCTTATGGATGCATTAATAGCTTCTACTTATTTTATTTTGAGGAACTTGAGATTTTACAGACCCTTTTCATTGTAGAAAGGAGAATGTTGAGGTGTCAAGAAACATTAAGTTACTCCATCTCAGAAATCTGAGGAAAGGCAAGTCTTATACCTGATAACACAGTTTGTTCTGAGTGCTTTGCTGAATTGTTTGCTTTTCCCTTCAGAATATACAGGGCTAGAAGGTAAAGATGTAATGCTCTTCATTCCTGAATTCAGAGTTTATATAAGACTTTTGTCTTGATAGTTATAATAATGGAGGGAAATCAAATGTATCAATATCCAAAAAGTTGTTTGTTTGGTTGGCTTTTTTTGGTGTCTCAGGATTATCTGCTTGCTGAAGTAAATTAAGTTAAATGAAGAAATCACTGCACGAAGCTATGAATCTCAGTAGTGGAGGCAGGGATTATCTAGAAAGTTGAGAGTGCCTGCAGGCGAGTGCAGGGGAAAGGGAAAAGGACTTTGGAGATAGACCAACCCAGGGTTCATTCTCAGCTTTGCCATGTACCGTCTCTGTAGCCTTGAGCAAGTCAGTTGAGTTATCTGTACCTAGTTTCCTCACCTGTAAAATGTGGATAATTCTATCTTGCAGGTTTGTGGTTAGAATTTGAGGTAACATATACAAAATACATGACACACAGCTCCAGGCACATGTAATAGCTATTAATGCGGGTGATTCAAAGGTGTGTTAGTTTTCTGTTGCTGCTGTAAAAAATTACCACAAACTTAGTGGCTTAAAACATCACAAATGTATTATTTTATAGTTGTGTAGGTGAGAAATCTGTTATGGTTCTTAATGGGCTAAAATCAGGATATTGATTGGCAGGGTTCCTTTCTGCAGGCTCTAGGGGACAATTTATTTCCTTGTTTACTCCAATTGCGGGAAGAATTCAGCTCCTTGTGGTTGCAGGTCTGGGGTTCCCATTCCTTGCTGTCACCTGAGGGCTGTTCTTAGCTCCTAGAGACTGGCCCCCTTCTCCTGTCTTCAGTGCCGGCAACAGTGAAATGAGTCCCTCTTGTGCTTCAGATATTTCCTGCCTTTTTCCCTCTTCACATCTCTTTCACCTACCTTTCTGCATTCCTCTTCCATTTTTTTAAAAGCCGATGTGATTACATTGGGCCCACCCAAATTATTCATATCTGTGACCTCAATCACATCTGCAAAGTCCCCTTTACCATGTAAAGTAGCATTCACGGGTTTGGGAGGGGTTAGGGCATATCCTTAGAGGGCCATTATTCTGCTTACCACATGAGGAGATTACATCTAAGGAGAATAAAGATGCGTGAAACCACATCCAAGCAGATTGTTTTGAAAGTCTCAATGCAGCATTTGCCTTACTGTTGGTCTTAACCGTCCTCTTGAGTCTACAATAGACTCTTGGTAAACATGCCGATTCCTTTGATTATGTAACAGTAACACATATTCTACTTTCTGCTCTACGGGCAATTTTCCACAAAGGGACAGTTTTTGTCAATATAATAGGAAAAGACACAGAGTTAAATCTTGGATTCTTGTATCTTGTATGGAAAGAAAATTCTGTCAGCTAGCAATATCCTCCCTGTTCGCTGTGTGGTGTCCAAGCTCACACATTCAGAGGGTATGGCCTGGGAACTAGATGGTAGAGTATCTTTACTTCTTCACTACATATGTATTTAATTTCATTCAGTAAAGTTCTTTCAACAGTCACATTGCATATCACAATTAGTAAAATATGTAATGACTTCCCTTTTTTTAAAGAATGATCTGGAGAAATTTTCAAAAGGTATTGGCAGGTTTACAAGAGAAGATCCCACATTTAAAGTCCACTTTGACACCGAGAGCAAAGAGACGATTGTATCTGGAATGGGAGAATTACACCTGGAAATCTATGCTCAGGTAATGAATAGCATGGAAGTTAAATTCACTTTATGTCTGTGCTTTGCTAAGAACAAAAGTCAATAATTCTAATGTCCATAATAGCGGTTGTTCAAGCTCACTCTTGTTTGTATCCAGGTGTGGTGTACTGCTTCCTCTACCAAGTATTACAAATTAATTATTTTTGATCTCTAAATCTTTTTATTTGTAAAACATGGCAGACTTCCAGAATCAAGGGGCAGGGGACTTGCATTACACCATCCATCCCTAGGTCAAGGTTAGTTCTGTTAAGTATCCTGGTCCCAGCCTTAGGAAGACAACCTATAGGAAGAAACTTGCTGAAAACGTTGGCCCACCAATTCCCACTCTTCAGGACATTTCTTGTTTGTTTTATTCTCTAAGTCAGTACTTGGAGATCGTAATGTAGATAAAAGAATGAATAGATGGGACATGTACTTTCCTAGGAAAGATCTGTATATCTGAATGAAAGCAAGATATATGATTTAAGATTAAAAATTCTGGTTATGATCATACCTTTGAAGTTGAGAGAGTACAAAATTCTGACAACAGATTCATATACTATTCCAGTTAATATGTAATAAGATGAAACAAAAATGAAGTTTTAGTGGATATATTAAGGATGTATGTGTAAACTAATCAGTCTAAGTTAGAATTCACTTATATAGCAGTTTGTATTTTTTAATATCATGTATCTAATCCTTGTATTTAAATGATTTAAGATTAATCATTTGCTTACCTATTGTATTTAAATGAATGCTTCTAATAATTAAGATTCTTAGGATTTTTCTTCTTTCTGTTTATTTTTTAAATTTAAATATACCAAAGAAATTATTTCTCCTGCTATTTTTAGAGGATGGAAAGAGAATATGGCTGCCCTTGTATCACAGGAAAGCCAAAAGTTGCTTTCAGAGAGACCATTACTGCCCCTGTCCCGTAAGTATCCAACACAGTCAAAGCTATTATGAGGCTGGAATTGAAGCTTTTTATTGTGGGATATACATGGTACTATTACTGTTATTAAGACACTTTTACATCATGACACTCTTTATTATGGAAGCTATACAGTTCTGTGCTGTAGCTAAGACATTTACACAGAGTGACGTTAGGGATTTGTTTGGCCCTTCAGCTAGATATCAGTGAAGGTTGACACACACGTCATTAGTAAGCATACTGACACTTCATCCAATGTTGGGGGTCTTCTTTCATTCCAGTTGTGCTTCCTTTGGCAGACGGCTATTATGTTTTACTTTAGTGCCATATTGTGGATGCCAGAGAACTTGCATTTGCCAAGGAATAATCTCCTGCAAATAAAGGAAACTGATGCTAGAATAAAATTCAGAAAACCCTTAAGGAAACAGAGTTGGGTTTATGTCTTGTTAGAAACAAAATAGTCCTCATAAAGAAGAGCACAAAACAAGTTAAATTGCAAGTATACTTCAACTTGGTGCCTATTGAATTTACATGAATTGTGATTTAGAGTCAAAATTAATACAGCATACTGTGCTTATAAAACGTCTCAATTTTCAAATTGGCATCAAATAAAAGTAAATAAATGGTACTTTACCTGAGATGCAATGTCATGAAGTAGAATGGTGTAGTCTAACTCAATGAAGTCATCATTTCTTTGCTATAATAAATTAAAAACCTGGTGTATAAAACAATATCATTGGCAAACGATATTTTAATTTCAAAAATCATGTTTCATTAGATGCTTATAATATTCCCACTTAAGTAAAAATAAAAATCGAATGTCATAATTTAGCCTGTCAGAAAAACTTTCTCTTACAAATGTTTTTTTCAAACTACAATTTAAAATTACGACTTTTCATTTGTTACTCTACTTTCTGTTTATAGTTTCCTAGTTGTGGTAGCTGCTTAAGAGTATTACAGTCTATAGTTGGTCATTTAAAATGCCTTAATGTTTACATTGTTCAGAAAAGCACAATTGAAGGGATAAACTACTAAAATAAGTGTTTACATGAAAGGAAACCAATTTTATCATAGAAATTCTTTTTTTTATATATATTTTATTGATGAGAGAGAAACATTGATCAGCTGCCTCCTGCACACTCCCCCCTGGAGATGTGTCCGCAACACAGGTACATGCCCCTGACAGGAATCAAACCTGGTACCCTTCAGTCCGCAGGCTGACGCTCTATCCACTGAGCCAAACCAGTTTCGGCAGAAATTCTTTTTAAAAAACTGAAAATAACCCTGGTCGTCTACCCTGGCCAGGTCACTCGGTTGGAGTGTTGTCCTGTACACCAAAAGGTTGCTGTTTTGATCCTAATTAGGGCACATACCTAGGTTGTGTGCTTGATCTCTGGTCGAGGTAAGTATAGTAAGCAACTGATCAATGTTTCTCTCTCATATTGATGTTTCTCTCCACCTCCTCTCTTACTTCCTCTCTAAAATCAAGAAAAACATATCCTCAGGTAAGGATAAAACAAACAAACAAACAAAAAAACCCTGAAAATAGTAAAATGTACTGAGTGTAGTTATCTGAATTTGTAATTAAAGCTTTAATCTGTGCTTATTGCTTTGTGCATATAAAGTATTTATACCATCAGCAACACAAATATTGCATCTACATAGTTAAAACCACAATCACCAGAGGCAGGACTCTTTAGGGCTTACATAATCGATACACTGAAATAAGCCCTGGACTCCAAGCAGCACAAGCTCCTGTAGTACACCCTTTGGTGAACAGTGATTATAAATGTGGCCCTAGGGTCAAATAAAAGCATACAATTCTCTCCTTATGGTATCCTGAAGTAATTCTTTCTTTGAGTATATCAGCAAAGAATGTCCTTTAAAAGATATGGTAAAAATCAGTATTAAGGTTTCTTACATGTTGGGTCTTAATAGGTAAGATATCCTATATAATTAAAGGGTAATATGCAAATCAACTGAATGGCGGAATGACCAGTCACTATGACACACACTGATCACCAGGGGGCAGACGCTCAATGCTGGAGCTGCCCCCTGGTGGTCAGTGCTCTCCCACAGAGGGAGCACAGCTCAGCCACAAGTCGGGAGGACGGCTGGTGAGCCCATCGGCCCACCTCCATGGCAGCTGGCAGCGCTTAGGCCCATGGGGAGCAGGCACAGGCTGAGCTGAGGAACACGCCTCCCTACATGAATGTCATGCACTGGGCCTCTAGTAATATATATATAGCCTGAAGCAGGGGTTAAACTCTTCTGTTGAGATTTTCATTAATGCCTTAAAAACTACATTTGGTGAAGGGTCATAGTTTTCTTTCATAAAAACTACTAGCCCTGTGTTTGTGCCTATTTTGCTATTAAGACATGGCTTGAAAAATTATGATTATGTAGCCTCTTTAACCTGGACCAGTTGCAGTTATTTGAGGCCACAGTACCCGTATAGGAGTGTTGCAATCAGGACTGAGGTCTACAAAAATGCACTAGAAAAGGGCAGTTTCTTAAAATGTTGTTCTAATATTTATGTTAGGTATCTGACACCACACTCTATGAGTACTGTAATAGGGTATCCTGTCCTCCAGTGCCTATAGGTATCTAGTAACTGGTTGCAGAAGCCTTTGGAGTAAAGGTGCTCTAAGCGCTGCTGCAGTGTCAACAAGCTGTAAAGTCCGTCCTTTCTGGAGCCGACTGAAACTGTTGTGGTGGTTTCTTTGTACACTGTCTTCCTTCTTTCCATTAGATACCACAAGTTGACTTTTTTTTTTCTTTTTAACCCCTTAATAAAGCTAAAATCAAAGAATTTATTTTTATCTCTTTAAGGTCTAGAAAGAGGCAGTTCAGAATAGTCAGACTTAAAACACAAGGCTAGCAACAAGTAAGATAAGAGGTTGTAAACTATGACTCATTGGGTTATAAAAGAAAATTACATACAGCAAGCTCCACAACCCTAAGATGCTAATATTTTTGGTCTGGCTGATCCCCAGAAAAAACGGCAGCCATGTTTCTAATAGCTCTGGCACTACCATTTCAGTAGAAGAAAACAGCAGAGATAGTTTAAATATTGCATGGCTAGTAATTTGTATACAAAACTTAGCTTTCCAAACAAAATAATCTGTATTAAGCTGAGCACAGAAACTGATGCCAAATTATTTATAACAACACTTCACTCTCCTGAAACTGCAGCTTCACTTTCTCTGGCCTTGACTGTAACTGACCTCTCCTTCAAATTACTTAGTACACTATTTTAAATGCAAAATTACTAATGGGGCACTAATGATCTAATAATGAATCAGAGCACTTTCAGTAAACATTAACCCTATTACGAGTGAATTTTATAGACATTACTTACCACTTGCTTGACAGTTTGAATTTTTACCATTTTATACCATGTGTTTTCAGTAGAATTCTGCCATATTATATAACCACAGGCAACCCAGGCTAAATGTCGGATTGGCTTCATTGCTGGAGATATATTTCCAAAACTGTCTGGAGAGGGAAACATGATAAATGGAATTACTTTATACTTACAGTATTAACCATTTACAAAATCTAAATTCTAAATCATCTCTTAGTTTCCTTCAAATGTGTTTAGAAAATAATTTAATTAGGCCATGGGTCTATAAAGTTTCAAGAGATTCTATTGTTGAATTAGATTGGTAATGGATATTTTTGCAAAAGTCAATATGTTTCCAACACAATATTAACATGTTATAATTTTGAGCATAGATCATTGATATTGATCTTAAAGTTCAAAAAATATTTCTCCATGCCATATTTATATACCTGGAATATTTTCTGCTTCTAGTGGTTCTTTCATGGACTTGAGTTTTTGATAAAATGTGTTATCTTCTTCATCGGGGTTCTTTCCAATTTCTCCTTCAAATGAGAAGTTGACTTCTGGTGCAGTATCTTGTCCCATTGGAGGGTAAAGAACTTCAGCTGTGCAGTTCACTATCACTTGCTGTTTGAGACATTTTGCAAAAGATCTTTACATGTAAATCCATTACTGTTGTTCTCTGAGCTATCATATTTAAATCATTGGCCCCTAACAGTGTTGTTTCGGTCTTGACTTCAGAGTGCCTACTCCAGAGGTAATCTAATTAGGGCTGGCCTAGTAATTTTCTTAGATGTGTCTAAAATACATCTACATGTGGTCTCATTATCTTTTAAATTTGTCTTAAAACTTGGAATATATTTCAGTATTAATGAGATGTCCGTTTTCAATGCTAGATTTTAGTCTGACTGTATCCCATCTCCAAACTCTGGTTACTTTTTGTTGTTAATTCTCACCAGGGCATATTTTTCCATTGGTTTTTAGAGAGTGGAAGGGTAGAGATGGAGAGAGAGAAACATGGATGTGAGAGAGACACATTGATTGGTTGCCTCCCACATGTGGCCCAACTAGCACCAAGGATCAAGCTTGCAGCTCAGGTCTGTGCCCTTGTCCGGAATAGAACCCAGGATTCTTCAGACTGATGCTCTATCCACTGAGTCAAACCGGCTAGGGCTCTGGTTACTTTTTAATTCTTTCCATTACTCTTACTCTCTGCTCTTGGAATAACAGTAATTTTCTCAAACTCAGATACAGCAACCTGCATCTAGATGTAAAATGAGAAGATTGTAACATTGGTTCTGCTTTGTAAAGATGGTTGTCTAGCAGCTCAGATGCCTTTTAATGAATCTCCTTATGTTAACCTGTATCTCTTCTCTTCTGAATATGCTCAACAAAAGGGCAAGCTTTTTTAAATTTCAAGATGGTTGCGGTACAAATTGCAAGTCCTTTTAAATTTGTCTCATTAATAATTTGAGAAGTATATAAAAATTTCCCTTCCCATTACTGAAAGATTCTCATGTGAACATGACGATATCAGTGGGCCATTATATTGCTCATAAATATCTAAAAACACTTGCTTTCTTTAATTACAAGAAATTAAAAGCAGAATGAGAAAAAGGCAAAGAGGTGATGATTGGAGAGTAATTTATTTCACTTGTTAATATTTGGCATGAGTTCAGATTGCCCTATGAGTATATAACATTTTAAAGGGAATTTATTTGAACTGAAGTATATAGAGTCTACTTTTTAAAAAGCTCAACAGAAATACTTCATGTATCTCAGAACACACAAAAAAAGTAAAAACTGACCCTTGTATGTCATTTTCTTTTTCAAGGCAGGGTTTCACAACTTACAAATTTAACAACTTACAAAATACAAATTAATCTTATGATTTTATCAGCCAAGGTGATCTGGATTATTTAGAATGAAATTTTATTTAATAATAAAGGACATTTCACTTACTTTTTGGATAATTTCTTCCACAGAAAACTTAAGGCAATACTTATGTCCTCTTCCTGGAATATCCTAAAATTAAGAAAATGTAGTGAGTTATTATAACAATAACTCAATTCTCTGCATTGTTAGAAGAATCCATTCTTATTTGATTTTGGGGAGAGTGGGTGCCTGACTGGTGGGGGTAAATAATTAAAGCCTTGGGCTGTAAAAGCATATTGGCATGTATATAACATCTAATTTAGCAGGACCCCTGTCAAATTTATTTTGGATGCGAAAAAAGGGTGGGATGAAAGCATATGTAAATAAAATGGGTTCCAATTCACTTTCAGTCAGAGGACTTCAACCTCTGAATAGGTGATCCTAAATCTCTATAGAAGAAATTCTGAAACAGCTTTTAAGTCTAAAGATGGCAAACAGGATACATCACTGAAAAGATTTTTCACAGAGTCCTATGGGTACTTTATGTCCAAACTGTGTTCAGTGACGGTGAATTCCATTTTGAAGCAGATTACTGCAAAGTGATTAGACATGTTAAGTTCTGATTTTACCTGTATATTATTGGGCCTGAAAAATGATACTTTAATAAATTTTATAACAGTAAGACAAATGTTTAGGTATTTCACTTTTGAATCAAGATACAATCGGGCACTTACACCTAATTATGTTATCTATTGTAGTTAACATCTACTCCCTGTCAGCTCTTAAAGGCTGTTAAACAAATGTCAGTTAAATAATGAAAAATCTCAAACCCATGAGATTTTAGTAAAATGGAAACAAGACTAGTGATTGCTGAGGTCTTATGCATTTAATTTAACCCTTTAGCCAGAGAGAGCAAGCACATCGCTTATGGTTGGTTGTACTAGTGTTTTGAGTGGTTAAAGAGAAGCTTCTCGCCACACTGATACTGGTTGTCAGTTTCTCTTGCTCTGTTTCCCCCATCATTTTGGTCAAAAGGCCTAATAAGGATTGGTCGTAAAATGAATCGTTTGCAAGATAGGGGCTTCTGTTGATCCAGATTGTGTAGTAGGTGAGCAATGTCATAGCAGTTTTCAGATTATTTTGAATGGTTCCTACAGGTTTCACTCGTCGGAAGGAAAATGCTGCCTCTCATTGGGAACATTTTCCCCAAATCCTTGTAACAGTGCCCATAAAAATATCGTGCCTCTGCCTTCCCTTGAAAACAAACAGGCCCCAGGCTATCCCCAGAGACTGGAG